AGGAAAAGGAAGTACTGGAGGAGGACAGAAAAAAGATTTAGATTCTATCTAAATATTTGGAAATATTTTATTTCCAAAGAAATAAATATGATAATATAAATGTAACATAAAATTAAATATAAATAAGTAATAACTGGATTGAAATATGGCAAGATATTTTCATGTCATATGCAGTAGGTTTTGTTACATTATTTTCTGTACTATAATATTACTTTTTTTTTTTTTTTACAAAAAGAAAGAATCATGAGAAGAAAATACACTCACTGCCATGGAGTTGATTCTGACTCAGTGACCCCCTCTGGGTTTCTGAGGCAGTAAATCTTTACTGAAGGAGTCTTCCTTCTGCAAAGTGGATGTGGGTTTGAACCACACTTTCTGGTTAGCAGTTAAATGCCTTAGGCACTATACCAGAAAAGCTCCTTAAGGAGCCTTTGTTGTTGTTGTTATTTGCCATAGAGTCGCCCGACTCATAGTGACCCCTCCTTGGGTTTCCGAGGCAATATCACTATGGAAGTAGGAATGCCCAACCTTCCTTCCGAGGACTGGCTGGTGGTTTTGAACCGCCAGCCTTCTGGTTAGCAGTCAAGTGCTTTAGGCACTATGCTACCAGAGCTCCTAAGGAGCCTTTAGAGAAGTTAATTAGCTTCCCCCAAATCATCCTCTGTGAAAGGACAAACTGGCCAAGAAGACTTCCAATCAGAAGTAGATCACCCAATAAGCAAGGTAAGCAGTGCCTTACTTGTGCTTATTTACCAATCTGTAATGAACATTTTTACATGGTTTTCAACACATCCTATTTCATCTCTTATGTGGTGAAAACTATGTGAAACTGTTCATTACAAATTGGTAAGTAAACACAAGTTAAGCCCATGCTTATATTGCTTATTGGGTATTCTGCATCTGTCAGGGATTGTCAATTAGAAAAGAAGCTTTAATTCTGTGGGAAGGTGCTGTGGGGATGGAAGAGAGACAGATGTCAACTATACCTAGAAAGAGAATCTTTGATGTGGTGAAAAAATGTAATATTGTTCATTACAGATTTAATTAAGTACAAGCAAGCCTGTGCTTGCTTAATCCATTGGGTGATCTGACACTGCTTCCAGTAACAAAGTCCATTAAACAGAATTTGGCTCATTCATTTTTACACTAACGAGAACAGGGCCTGGCATGCTGCGGGGGTGATCACAATGAGAGACAACAGCAGAGAGGGTTCTTGCAGGGCAGGGCACCGCTCACAGTGGTTTGCTATTGAATGTCATCATTTAACAGGAAGCCTCAGGGCTGCATTTGACATCCTTGATCTCCAGGGGTATGTTCCACTTTTAAAGAGGTCAAATCTCAGAGGAACAGAGGCATTCTTAAGAAAACTTAAAGATTATTTAGTTCAACTTGTTCAGAAACTGAGAGACACACAGAGAGGTTAAATGGCATGTTCAAAGTTATATAACCAATGTGTTTTTCATTCAACTCTAAAGCTATGCCAATTAAACCATCAGTGCTAAACTTTATCTAAGATGTAGGGGAATATTCTTGGGGATGAGGATGATGATGTGGTGGTGATGAAGATAAAGATGAAGATGATGGTGGTGGTGATAATACAGCTAACTTTTCTTGAGCACTGAACTAAATTCTGGCACCTGCTCAAAAGCTTTATAAGCATCCCCTTGTGAATCTTCACAACAACCCAGTAAATTAGGTACAATTGTAATCTCAATTACAGATAAAAAAAGAATGACTCTGAGGGCCACATGATTACTAAGTAATAGTGGATCCCAACTCAGGCAGTCTGATTTCTGAGCTAGAAGTCTACATCATTTGCTATGCTGAGGACTCAAATGTTAAGGGAAAAGGAAGTAAGGGCTGAGTGTAATATGATGATTTTCTGAACATCTTCAGGAGAATAAATCAATTATTTCCAGCACACATAAATTTTACTGGTGAGAAAATCACAATCCAAAATGCTGTGTGATATACGGACTGCAATTATTTTCTTCCAAGTATAAAAATATATGGTCTGCATACAACCATACCTGTACTCAAAATGATATATACAGTTGCCCAGCAGACTTTATATACTCAATTTATATCAATTTTTAAGTTACTTAGAAGAAATAAGTGAAACAAACCAGTCCATTTTGTAAAAAGTTGCAATTTCTTGTGAGAAACATTGAAAATCAAAGACAAAAAGAGAACAAACAGACACAGTGTGCAAACAAGATAGAGATAGAGACTATCAAAATGTTTAAAATACCAAAAAATCAAAACCAGGAAATAGTAGAGACAGGTTAACCTAATAAGGTTTGCTTCATTTGGAATTAGGTACAGAGTTTTGAAGAAGTAATCCTTGTGGACTGAAACCACAAAATGGCAGCCCACAGGTAAAATAATTTGCAGAAATATTTGGTTCCTTGAGTTTACTGAAAAATCAAATTCCTTGCCCATGTTCCAGAATCACATCTCACAAGCATTAATCTAGTTTTTTTCTCTTTTTTTCCCTCCCTGCTTTTCTTAAAAAGCTCAGGCTACATTTCTACAGAATAGCAATGACATGGATGGAGCTCAGTAGTTGCCGCTACATAAGCTTTCCGGTTACATAGTTAGATATGATTTTCCATTTTGCCGAGTCCTTACTCATCTTATTTTACTCATTTAAATTATCAACCTGCCCCTAAAGTCTATTGAGCTCAGAACCTCTGATGCATTGCCAAACAAATTCCAATAGTTGAGGTGATCAAAGTCAGATGGGATTACAAGAATAGGCACCATTAGAGAGGTTCGCATGTTCATTCATTCATTCATTCAACAAATACTGAATATCTGATAACTGTCAGATGCTGGGCTCACCTCAGAATACAAATACTTGGGACATCTTTTCATGGAGGTAATGCAGTCATAGATCTAGATGAGCTTATAAGGTGTATGTAATCAAGGAAGTTAAGGATAAAACATTGGTGAACTTTATAAAATCAAAAGAGGAATTCTAAAGAATGCTAATAATTTCAAGGGTAACAAAGGATGAGAAATTTAAAGAAGGAAGGGGATGGTCAACAGTGTAAACTAGCTGAGAAGTGAAGACAAAGAGAAGAAATAACATTCTCTTGGGTGAATAGCAAACCTCTGGTGACATTAAAACAGTATAGATAGGTAACTTCAGATTGCGTACTGAGAAAGTGAGTAAAAGGCATAAGAAAAAATGGGAGGGACTTGTGGAAGGAAATGGTGGGGAGGGGAGTAAGGAGAGAGAGATGAGTTGATAGCTTTGTAGGTTATGGGGGAGCTGAATGCATGTTAGACAGAAAAAGACAGTGAAGAAGATCAATTATGTGATAAAAGGAGTTTTGTCACCAGACCATCCACAAGAATAACCATATGCTAGAAATAATTAAAGTAGATGGAGTGACATTATTCTGATAATCAGAGCAAAATTTGGCAACTTTTCCATAAGCCATATCCCCAAGATCATTTATTGGGGCACATTTTAGGAAGGTTTTCTCACCATGAATGCATATTTTTAATTGGCATCAAAATTCAGTGGCAATAAGCTAGCAAAGAAGATGTGTTTGCTTCCAATTATTTATTCCTTATTTTCTGGTATTGTGCTTGTGATTTCAGTCAAAAAATGATAGTAAATGTTTCTGGTCTTTGGCCATGTTGGAAATAACATTAATAAACAGTAAGAAAGAAAATGAAACTTGCTATTTAATTGTGGCTTGGGAAAAAAAAAGAAAAACACTCCCTAAACTAGTTTCTCATAGTACTTTTAAATAAAATGCTTATAATGCAATTCTTAGAATGGAGGCATCATTTGAAATACAAGCAAAATGGTTCCAAATATTTTAGGAATAAATTATGTCTTACTGCTGTTCCTCTCTAGTAGACACACTTTCCTGCACCTGGAATTTGGTACACAAATAAATGTTTATTGGTTATTTCTTATTCAAATGGCTTACATAGAGTAAACAAACAAACAAAAAAAACTCAACCCCAAATCACTCCCATCAATTTGTTGCCAACTCATAGCTACCCCTCCTTGGGTTTCCTAAGCAGTATCTGTACGGAAGTAGATTGCCCAGCTTCCTTCTGAGGAGTGGCTGGTGGATTTGAACTGCCAGCCTTCTGGTTAGCAGTCAAATGCCTCATATGCTACGCCACCATAGCTCCTTATATACAGCAGTGAACTTTAAAAATTCTCATTTATATTTATTAATTATTGAAATGTGTTGCTTAGTAGGAAACACTATTAGAATACCTAAGTGTATTTGTCATAATTGTCATGCGTTCTACCAAAAGCTTTAGGCAGTCAACTAGGTTTTTCTTCTATAGGATGTGGAAAGATATCCCAAAAGCTTGCTTGAGTTCTTAGTTGACAAGCAGTTTCAATAACTTTGAAGCTTGCCTCTATTAGTCTAACCTTTAATTCACTGTCAGTGAGTCTACAAGTAGTGCATTACCTCCATTCCACGACCATAACCAGCAATGACAACTACTATGCAGAGATGCCTTCCAATCTACTGTACAATCTGATTGGTTGTTGTTGTTAGGTGCTGTCGAGTCGTCTTGGACTTACTATAGTGACTCTGTACAACAGAATGAAAAACAGCCCACTCCTGTGCATCCTCACAAGTATGTTACAATCAGATTTAGGTATTTCAAAATTCTCAACCATGTTCCAAAATTCTGAGTAAAACTGTAGTAAATAAGCCTGGCAGAAACTGTCTCTTCTCTTTTGGAGTATTTATAGAGACTGAAGTTTAAGAAGCACAAAGCTGAGAAATACTCCTGTTAATATAACAATGATTTACTGTAGAAATTAATCAATCTGCAACCTATGTAAACTGATTTCAAGTCTAACTGGGAATAAGTAACTATTAACATGCAGGCCTGTGTCTGATATTAAAATAAATATTAAATACAGAGCTTATTTTGCTAGGAGCTCAAAATTTAAGACAGAAATGTATACAATACTCAACCAAAAACTGTGTAACATAAGATTAACTTACCCCTGCAGCGCTTTTTCTCCAAACCAATCTCCTTTTCCTAAAGTTCGCAGAAAAACTGGGTCTTCGCTTGGGGAATCTTCACGAGTGACATTTACCTACAAAAAGAAACAATGAAAGTCTAAATTCATTGCATTTCCTGGATGATCAAGTGAATGCTAATTGAGAAGCCTGATTCTATTTCTTTTAAACTTATTTTTCTGAGAAAAACAAATTTAATTACCAGTGATAGGCCCAAAGAATAGTATAACAAATTTTCACATAAACCACAGTAACTGACTTCTTAATATTGTGCTAAATTTCCGTGAATTTTTAAAGAAAGAAAAAAAAAATTAGGGAATTTGAATTTGAATTTTACCTAATGTTACCTCCTAAGAGTCAACCACTATAATGAATTTAATGCCTGTTCCTCCAATCTTGTTTAATGCATTCATAAAAATTCATAAATAGCATGATATTATATGTATCATTCTGTAATTTAGCTTTTTTTCTCTTAACATTGCTTAAATGATTTGTTCCATGTTGAGGTGTAATAATTATATGATATGGCTTTTCTAGCCATAGTCTTTGTAACTCCCCCTTTGCTGTGAGTAGCTGATCATTATAGTTATCCACCTGGTTTATTTCTGTTGGAGCAACAAGAAGCAAACTTCTGGGAAGTTCCCTCTTTCTCAGGTTTATAGAATTCTGATGTTGGGATTGGATAGTTTGGCCACTCTGCCAGGCTCAAAAGGAAATCTCCTAGAGGCAAAAGGAATCTCTCACTGCCAGCTGAGAGACATGAGAGACACACACTGATGAGAGAGAGACACGAGAGACTCGCACTGCTGAGAGAGTGATGTGCTACTAAGACTGCTGCACTCAACAATGTTCCTCCCAACCCTGCCTATCATGGTCATGGTTGCTGAGTGAGACAGCCACTTGCAAGAGACTGAGTGCATTTCTGAACTTGAATTGTAACCTGTTGCCTCCCTAATAAACCCCGTAATCTCTGAGTTCTATGTGGCCACTGCAATGAATTATCGAACCCAAGAGAGAAGTGGTAGGTGCTTTGGGAGGAAGGGCTGGAGGGAGGCAGCATGTCTGGCCTCAGAGGAATAGGCCTTGGGCTACTGATGGTGATTGTGTTTCCCTCTTGTGGGGTTAGAGGAGGTCAGAAGATGGCACCTCCCTGCCCCTTTGGCACGTGTTTAGTATAAATTTAGTTCATTGATTTTTATGTTTCAGTGTCCTACTATAGCTATCATTCTGCAAATTACTTTTGTGTCTTAAAATTGTTTACATTATCTCTTCCATGTTATTAGGATGAACCTAGTTCATCCATGTTCACGTTTTAGTGTCTTATTCCATTACATAAATATATTTATCCATTTCCATTGTTAATGGTTGTTTATATGTCCAAATGTTTGCTACTGAAGTGCTGCAATGAGCATCCTTTTAACATCTTAACATAACCAGTTGCCATCCAGTTGATTTTGACTCATGGTGACCCCACGTGTGTCAGAGCAGAACTAGGTTCCATAGGGTTTTCAGTGGCTGGATTTTCAGGTCTTTCTTCTGGGGTGCCTCTGGGTGGACTTAAACCCCCAACCTTTCTGTTTACATCCAAGTGCATTAATGATTTGCACAACCCAGGGACTCCTCTCCACATATACATCCCAGCTGTTCATAGACATGTCTGTCTCTTGCTCTAAGAAGAAACCCAGCCTTCATTCAAACACCCGTGAAACCTTCCTGAAGGGCTGTTGCTAATTATAGCCCTCATGATGTGCATGCTTCATTCAGCAGAATTTCTCTTTGTAAAAATAGATAAATTACATGTATGTCTCTCTCTTTTTTTTTTTTTTTTATCATAAATGTTCTTTGGAGAAAGTAGTATTTCTTTGGCATTCTCTAAAATTTATAAGCACTCAATCAAGAGTTGTAAATTGTTTCATTAGAAAATCTTCATTATAAACAAGGTATCCTGGCACCTATAGGACTCACACCCTGTGTGCTAGTCCATGGAAAGCAAGTAACAATATATTTTTTTTTTTTTTTGCATGAATGAAGACATCAGTGTAGTATGTTGTACCTTTGTGTTAATTCACTTTCCCCTCCAATTCCACCAATACTCATAATACTATCTGTGTGACATCCAGAATGGTTAAATCATTAAAATTCACCTATCCGGAAAATGTAATGAAGTAGAAAAACTAATTTCTTAAGACAATGACAGACGTTTAAACACCTTTAAAATTACCATGCTTCATGTTTTTGAGCCTAGTGACTAGATGTGAAAGATTAGAAGTTTTATAAGTATTCAGCTCTGTGCAAGGAAGAGAGAATTCAGTTATTCTCCATTGATCCATTTGATTACTCCCCAACAGTGTTTTAAAACCATGGAAATGCAGTTTTAACACTCTTACTTAACACAACACTATATTATAGAGATGTTAATTGATATGCTGATGAGGATTTTACAGATATGGATACAAATGCACTACCCAGTAATTCTCAAAAATGTGGGTAGGTAAGGAGCTCTGGGTACACAATGGTGAAAGCATTTGGCTGCTAACCAAAATTGTGGGTATGGATCTTATTTAAAATAGAGGTTAAACCAGTCAATTCTGACTCATGGTGACCCCACGTGTCAGAGTAGAATTGTGCTACTCTGGTTAGGAGCTTTGGTGGCATAGTGCCTAAGGCATTTGATTGCTAACGAGAAGGCTGGCGGTTCAAACCCACCAGCCACTCCTTGGAAGGAAGGTTGCGCAATCTACTTCTGTAGTGATACCGCCTCAGAAACCCCAGGAGGGGTCGCTTTGAATCAGATACGACTCTACAGCAGTGGGTTTAATTGGTTATGGTTATCAATGCCTAATTTTCTGGAAGTAGATCCCCAGACCTTTCTTCTGAGATGCATCTGGCTGGGCTTGAACCACAAGCCTATGGATAGCAGGCCAGTGTGTTCACTCTTTGCATCACCCTGCTGGATCCTCATTCTCCACGTTGTCATTTATGGATTGTGATATCTGCATTTCAAAAGATTCATGTAGGTAATACAGATACAAGTGTTCTACAGACCTCTGCAGACCAATCTTTGACAAATGTACATGAACTGTCATAATACTTCTGAACCTTTTCCATACAATGAGGCAATTTGATGAAATTATTTCTGTCATTCCAATTAGCTGCTAAAATAATCATAGACTAGGATGTAATAAGGAGCTCTGGTAGCGTAGTGCCTGAGGCACTTGACTGCTAACCAGAAGGCTGGCGATTCAAACCCACCAGGCACTTTTTGGAAGGAAGATGGGGCAATCTACTTCCCTAGTGATACTGCCTCGGAAACCCAAGGAGGGGTCGCTATGAGTCGGGTCCGACTTGATGGCTCATAACAACAAGAAGGATGTAATAGACTATAGGTTTAGACATTAATTCAAAATTGGCATATGGATACATTTCCTAACTGCATTTTCTATTTGATGAATATAATGTAGTAGAATTTCAAAGTGGCAGATTTATGTAAGTCATTTGAGAAATATCAGTGTATTTTGAAGTGTTATTTTAAAAGATGTTGCTGAAATGCTATAATAGAAACATAAAACAAAAAGTGAACCATCTACAGAATAAACCACTTTCTGCTTATATGATAAATGGGAGGAAAAACCCATCTGAACAATCCAAAAAGAAATGCAGCTTAACAACCAAATATAAGTGTTTTTCTGAATAGTTGTGAATCCCACATTTTTATTTGTACATTTAGTATTGTTCCAAATAGTAGACACCAATCATAAATATTTACTTCTTCAAATCCGAAAAAAATTCAGAGCAGAGAAAGTTAAATAAAGAAAGATAGTGCTCTAACCTTGGCTTTTATACCTATCCTTTTCATACTTAAACTACAAAATACTTTCCAATCCATGTTGTTGCTCTTAGGTGCCCTTGAATAAGATCCAACTCATATGCAACAGAAGGAAGCACTGCCTGGTCCTGCACCATCCTCACATTCATTGCTGTGCTTGAGCCCATTGTCGCAGCCACTGGGTCAATCCTCTCGTTGAGAGTCTTCCTCCTTTTTGCTGACCCTCTGCTGTATCAGACACGATGTCCTTCTCCAGGAGCTGGTCCCTCTTGATATAACATGTCCCAAATACATGTTATCATTTACAAGAGGCAAAGTCTCTCTTCCTCCCTCCCTTCCAACGAGTATTCTGGCTGTTTGTTCCAAGACAGACATGTTTGTTCTTCTGGCTGTGCATAATATATTCAGTACTTTTTGCCAACACTGTAATTCAAGTGCATCGATTGCTCTTCAGTTTTCCTTATTCACTGTCCAGCTTTCATATGCATGTGAGGTAAATGAAAATACCATGGCTTGGGTCAGGCACACCTTTGTCCTCAAAGTGACATCTTACCATTTTAGCACTTCAGGGAGTGACCCATCATGTGGAAAAAAAAAGCTAGCTACTGAGACTTAAACATAGTATTTAGTTTGTTTGTGCCTGTGTACTTCCTCTGCAAAATGGGATGAATATTTCGGGGGCAGGAGTGTGTGTGAGTGTGCGTGAATTAAATGAGCTCATCCATGGAAAAATATCCATTTAACAGTAAGTGCCAAAAGAAGTGAGTTACTTTTTCCGTATTTCTTTTCTTTTTTTGTCTGTTTCTCTCACTTAACATTTCAGAAATTCCATACAATTGAAAACAAAACAATTATTTCATATCTACTACTGTTGCTCTTTTATTATTGTCATAAAATGGTATTTAGAGCATTGACTACTTTTGCCTCAAGGTAGGTAAGAGAGAGTATATGTATTTTAATGTTCTTTTCATTTGTCTATATTTTAATTTTCTATAAATAATATGAGTCGGGCCGACTCGACGGCACATAACAACAACAACAACAATATCTGTGCTGGAGGAAGTGCAGCCAGAATGCTCCTTGGAAGCAAGAAATTCGGCCAGACTTCGTCTCACCTATTTTGGTCATGTTGTAAGAAGGGACCATTCCCTGGAGAAGGATGTCATGCTTGGTAGGGTGGAGGGTCGACGAAAGAG